CGGCGGCGGGCCCCCCACAGCTCGTTGGCTGCTGTCCTTTCCCCTCGGGAGAGCCTGGCGGGGCAGCCCGGGCCGCGGGTACTGCCCCCGGCCTTGGGGTGGGCGGGAGGGTCGGGCCCCACCGCCGCCGCCGCCAGATCGAGCCGGGCGGTTCTCCTCCCTCAGCCTTTCCCCCCGTAAGGTTTTTCTGCCAGCTTTTTATTTTCCTCTTGCAAACGTCCCCTGTCACGTCATTCTGGCGGTAGCACGTCCCCCCTGTGCAAATGTCAGTGCCGTACAGGGGCACTGATACCTTTGAATCCGAGCTTTTAAAACTCTGGATTGGGTTTTTAGACGCTTTCCACAGAGGGAAATAATTCTTATTTCACAAATAAGAGTCGCCACTGTGCTGAGAGCGTGCAGGCCCCGGAGCTGCTGAGCAGGGCCCCCACCGTGCTGGCAGGAGGGTGACTTACTGGGTGTGCGGATCTCCCCCGGTCTAGCTCTGCCTGCTGCTTTTCTGCTGGGAAAGGGCCTGGTCCTGAGCTACTGTTGGATTGAACGTTAGCAAAATCCTCTGTTTCTTTCCTTTTCTAGTAAGAGAACAGCTGAAAGAGCTCACCAAGCAATATGAAAAATCAGAAAATGATCTCAAAGCCTTGCAGAGTGTCGGGCAGGTACGTGAGAGAAGCGAGGTCGTCGCAGCCTTGGGGGTGGTTGGCAGCGAACTTGCCTGGAGGTAGCATTTAAGTCCATTTTTGGTATTGAGAAAGAGTACAGCTGACGGAAAGAGGGGCCATACCATCAGGAACAGACACGCCAAGCGTATGGGTTGGAGAGGTTTTCTGTGTTTGTCCTGGTTGACAGAGATGTGTTAAAGAAATGGAAGTGCTGACAAGCAGCGTGAAGGAGGAGGAAGAATTTCAAAGGTGACAGTCATCTTCCATATCCTGAAACATGTTATTTTGCAATGGTAATTTATCTGTAGGCTAATACTGCATTTATTCTTTTGCAGATTGTTGGCGAGGTTCTTAAACAGCTAACAGAAGAGAAATGTAAGTACGCTGGACTGTTACATTCTTTGACATCTTGAAAATAAGCTTTTGTAGTTAAAATCTGGCTAAAGATTTGGAGGAGTAAAGAATTAGAGTATCAGTGATTGAGTATTAGCAGAAAAATATCATATACTGGGTAGTTCAGAAGCATAATTCAGAGCAGTGAATCAAGTAAATTTGATTGTTTTTCTTTGATCTTCTCTCTCCAGTCATTGTGAAGGCTACAAACGGACCAAGATATGTGGTTGGCTGTCGTCGTCAGGTAGCTGATCTATGTGAAAGTTTGCTTTGGTCTTGATTATTAGCATTGCTTTTGATAAACTGGGTTTTTAGTGGGATTAAGCATTTTCTTCTTCGAGGTGTATATGGCTGTTTTACACTGGTATCTGCTTGCCCTCTCCCTTCGTAGCTGGTAGTAGTGTAACTTCCTAGTAAAGATAAACAGTCCAAAACATTCCTGGAACCTTTTATTCTTTTCATGGGGTTGAAGCTCTGTCTTTCTGCCTGATTTTGAACTTTCTGAAAATTAATCAGCTGCCTAAGGTCTCCCTTGCTATGCTGTGAACAAAGCATATGACCATTATGGTCATAGTGCCGAGCTTCAGATTTAGTGTTATACAACTATATGTATTTGTTTCTCATGCTTTTACACTCCGCTTCAATAAATAATTATGGTAGGCAAGGTCCCTGTTCTAAATGCTCTGGGGGATTTTTATTTGTCCTTAATGATCTTAAAAAAAAGCCTTGTCACTGCCAGCCTAGGAGACAACAGCTTTTTTACCTACACCAAATTCTATAGAAGGTAGATGCTTTAATACACAACCTTCCTTACAGCATAATCCATCTTCTGCTGTAGTCAGCAAGAACCACTTAGAGGTACTCTCTGCTTTTTATTTTTATACAAAAGTATAAAGGATGTAGAGCAGAGGTTCAGAAACTGCGTTAGTTAATTGAGCACTGAATGTGACCCAGTCAGAGTAACTAAAACCCATAGATGGGCTGTTCCTTACCAAAGCTGCCTCTGAAGTAGGAACCACAACACTTGGTGGACGTGTTGTGCGACTGCAGAGCCATTGGGGGGCAAAAGTGAATCTCTAGTTAGATTTTATTACACTCATCCCTGACTTTGAGAAATGGAAGCGAAGAAGGGTGTGTATGAGATGTGAGACTAAGGTATCTGAACAGAGAATAGCGGCCCCAGGGAAGGATCGTGTATCCTGAGGAGGCAGCAGCAGTTCACTGAGTTATTTTAATGCACAAATAAGTGTAAGATCTTTTTAACAGCTGTGACCTC